AGCAAGAAATCAAACAGAAGAAAAAAGACAAAGGATGGTCTCGATCTTCTGACCTCGTGATCCACCCGTCTCGGCCTCCCAAAGTGCTGGGATTACAGGCTTGAGCCACCGCGCCCGGCCAAATACAGATATTTTTCTAATATGCAGTACCTTAAAAATTCTGTCTCCTGTGTATATTTCTCAAGAAACTTATGGAATATGTGCTTCATCAAAATGAGGGAGAAAACTAAGAAAGAAAAATACATGGGACCTAGGCAGCAAGAAATCAAACAGAAGAAAAAAGACAAAGGGGATTACCAAGGTGTGGTGACTCCAAGTATGAACCCCAGGAGAAAAGCCGCACAGCAGCCTGGAATACACCAGTCCAAAGGAAGCAAGAAATCTGAGACTCTAGGAGTGCGACTTCCAAGGGGGGAAATGAACAGGAGGGATTTCCTTAAGGGGTTGTTAATGTTGCTATGTTGTTGTTATTGTTGTTACCATATTAAGAGGAAATTTTTAATTTTGTTGGAAAATTCAGGAAGAATAAGTGACGGGTGCACAAAAAAGTATGTAAAAAGCTTTAAAAGGAAGGCAATTTCTAAATCAAAACAAAACCAAAATATTGTTCAAGAAAAGAAACGTCAGTGTGGTTCAACACATGAAACTACTACTTGGTTCAGCTGTGAAGAACATTTACACTGTCATGAATGTTAAATAAAAATTTAAACAAGAATTGTGATAAAATTATTTTAGGAAGAGAAGTGTGTGTGTGTGTGTGTGTGTGTGTGTGTGTGTGTTGTGTGCGCATGCGTGCATGTGTGTGAAGTGATAGTTGTTGCAATATTAAATCCCTAGAGTAATATTTAATATATTTTAAAATATCCGTTTAAGCATATTGTGTAGAAATATTGGGATAAGTAGCAGAAGAAACTGCCTAGTTTCTTTATAAACCTCAAAGTCTTATTTTAAACTGTGAATGTGTTTATGATTGCAAAAAATAATTTAAAGGAGTCATCTAGTATGTCTGGGACATCCATAAAACCTCTATTAAATACTTAAAACTGTAGCCCTAATCCAGTTAGAGATCAGACCACCAGACTCAGGGATACCCTGCAAAAAAATGTAGGCTGCCCACTACTTTGAAGAACCACAATAATATAACTGGTGTGTGGGAAAAGCCTTAGACCCAGAGTTCATCTGGAGATGACTTACTTAACCTCTCTGAGCCTCACTTGTCTCATTTCTAAACTTAAAGAGTTCGTTTGGAACTAACTAAACTCAAATGAAAGGCAAATAACAAAAGTGAGAGATCTAGCACAAACGCCAGCATCCCTTACAGAGAGTGGTCTCAACGCAGATGCAGCCAACTGTTGTCATCAAGGCCTGTTGTTGCTAAGAGGTTAGATGGTTCAAGAGAAACTGGAAATTTAGATTTTGACATGAAACCTCTGGAATTTAAAATACAGGTTTAGGCTGGGCGCGGTGGCTCAAGCCTGTAATCCCAGCACTTTGGGAGGCCGAGACGGGCGGATCACGAGGTCAGGAGATCGAGACCATCCTGGCTAACACGGTGAAACCCTGTCTCTACTAAAAAAAAATACAAAAAACTAGCCGGGCGAGGTGGCAGGCGCCTGTAGTCCCAGCTACTCGGGAGGCTGAGGCAGGAGAATGGCGTAAACCCGGGAGGCGGAGCTTGCAGTGAGCTGAGATCCGGCCACTGCACTCCAGCCTGGGCGACAGAGCCAGACTCCGTCTAAAAAAAATAATAATAATAAAATAAAATAAAATACTGGTTTAAAATGCACAGTGCCTACCAAACCAAACCTATCTGAAGGCCACCCCCAACTCACAGATTGCCAGTAGAGACCTCTGTATTAGATGAACATAAATGCCCTCTAGGTCTATGACTCTGTGGCAGCGCAGTGTTGTATGACTAAAAATCTTCACTGAATGAATGTGTTTCTTTACCACTAAACAGGCGGCGTGTTTTTACTCAAACTTGACATACCACGTTACTTCATTTCGTGATTTTTTTTTTCATTATAAATACTCTCAAATCTTAAGACCTGAGATCTGCACAGTATCTTTACTCAAAGAAGTACAGTCACAAACAGAGATATGTTCTGCCAAACATGGCCTGACCAAAAAATCAGGGAGTAATTTTCACAGGTACACAACTGAGTAAGAACTGCTATCAATCTGTCTTTTCAGACATATTAATCCACAAAGATAGAAATCACTTTTATATGCCAAGGACAGTATCAAGCTCAGTATTTGCTAAGATTAGCTTTCAGTTTTTCATGAGGAAACTTTTCCCTACCACTGATAATTATCTTCTTGGTTCACAGATCTGGAAAGCATGAAGACTGGGCTTTTTTTCCTGTGTATCTTGGGAACTGCAGCTGCAATCCCGGTAAATTTCCTTTCTGCTGTTATTACATCTCTTTCTCCTAATATTTAATTTAGAAATCCTCCATTTAAAAGAAAATGTTATTATATAATGGTTTGAAATTCTCTTTTTTATTTTAATTATATTCCTTATTGCCCAAGTAATAAACAAGTAATTGGAAAACTCAAGGTACTTAAAAAAATTTTTTTTGAACTATCAGGTTCTACAAGACACAATAAATATGCAGCAGAAAGCGTGGGCTATCTGTTTATTAGCCATAGAATATGCCCAAATACCCAAGACAGGAAGAAATAAATTCTTCCAGGGAAGTTCATCACATTGTTATTATAAACCTAAGACTTTAGACCGGGCGCAGTGGCTCACGCCTGTAATCCCAGCACTTTAGAAGACCAAGGTGAGCGGATCACCTGAAGTTAGGAGTTCAAGACCAGCCTGGCCAACATGGCAAAACCCTGTCTCCACTAAAAAAAATACAAAAATTAGCCGGGTGTGGTGGTGGGCACCTGTAATCCCAGCTACTCGGGAGGCTGAGGCAAGGAGAATCAATTGAACCCAGGAGGCGGAGGTTGCAGTGAGCTAAGATCACTCCACTGCACTCCAGCCTGGGCAACAGAGCGAGACGCCGTCAAAAAAAAAAAAAAATTAAGGTGCATATCCACAGTCTCCAGCAGCATTTTCTTCAAGATCAAATAGATGCTGGCTGAGAAAAATTTTGAGAGTCTATAATGAAAACAGGAACCAATGGGTTAGGCAGGAAACGATACAGTAATCATAAACAAGCTCCTAACTCATCCTTGGGAGGCTGTCCAAGCAAGTATGCTGAAAGTAGGCAGGACTAGAATATTCTCTTCTTCGTGGTCAGATATACTGGCCCCATTTGCACAGCAATAAAGCAGCTGAACACACATCAGATCATTTGAAACCATTTTTCAAATGAAAATGGTTTCATTTTCATTTGAAATCATTTGCATCAGTGGACTCAAAACAAACTGAAAGTTAAAAAACAAATGAAACCATGGCATGGATGACCACCGGAGACGTTCCGCAAATGATCCATGGAATCCTTCTAAACCAAAGGATTGTGCCATTTTTTTTCTTTTTCACCAAATGGAGGAATCAGCCTCTTTTAAAAATACAAAGCAATTTCTCAGTTGTCCCTTTCCTCCCTTCCTCTCTAGGTCTAAAATTCTGTCCTGGCTTTTTGGAGAAGTTGTTAGCTAGCTCCTGGTTGACAAATGTGTCAGCAAAAACAAACTCCATGGCATCCAGACCAAGCTGTTCTTGGAAGACAGAGTTTATGACCGCTATCAGGAATCATGCTTAAGCAGTGTGGAGCTACTCCAGCTGAAATTATACATTACACCCTGAAATTACAAAATCGGGACAAATTAATGTTCAACACTGAAAGGAGTTCCCACAAAACCATTATTTTCTCCTGAAAATGTGCTTTGTCCTTGCAGCTGTTGCTATTATGTAAATATACATAAAAAAGTGTCTTTGGGCCACGCACTGTGCCTCCTACCTGTAATCCCAGCACTTTGGGAGGTCAAGGCCAGAGGATCACTTGAGCCCAGGAGTTCAAGACCAACCTGGGTAACATAGTGAGGCCTTGTCTCTACAAAAAAAAAAAAAAAAAATTGGCCAGGTGCCATGGCATGTGCCTGTAGTCCCAGCTACTTGGGAGGCACAGGAGGGAGGATCCCTCGAGCCAGGGGAGTCGAGGCTGCAGTGAGCCAAGATCGCACAACAGCACTCCAGCCTGGGTGACAGAGCAAGACTCTGTCTCAAAAAACAAAAAAAGTTTGAACCAAATGTTTGAATGACACACTTGTATTTAGACACATTCCAGATGTTTCCTTTCTGGGACAATTTCATATCATGTAAACCTAGCCAAACACTAGAAAGCTAAGTATCTTCTCATAGAACTGACCTATTAAAAATTTGTATCATTTTCCCTGCCTGCCTGAATTCTCTAGATGTAAATGGACTGGGGTAGTTAGGAGATTCCAAATAGATTTCCAGAGGGCACGTTACATAAATAGAAATATGCTCATAATGATAAAACGTAATTTCAATTGCAGAATATTTCTGAAAGTAAAAGAGTTGCCATTTTTTGTGTGCATTTCTTCCTGCTTGGGCAGTAGGTGGATGGAGGGGCAGAGAGAGTGACCAGTTCTCCACTAATAAGCCTAAAATCTCCCCCATCCATTGCCTTCTATGATGCTCCCTGTTGGCAGCTTAACCAAAGTGACCACCATTCTTTTTCCTTTTCCCCCTTCTTTAAGGCCTCTTTATAAACTTTTTCAAATTAATTACCCATCTTAGGTGAAAAGGAGATACGAAGCAAAAGAGCAAACCAAACCTAAAGGAATCCTGTACTGTGGCTCTTCTCTGTAATCCCAGCACTTTGGGAGGCCGAGGTGGGCAGATCACTTGAGGCCAGGAGTTCAAGACCAGTCTGGCCAACATGGTGAAACCCTGTCTCTACTAAAAAAAAATTAATAAATAAAACAAAAATTAGCATGGCATGGTAGCAGGCACCTGCAATCCCAGCTACTCAGGAGGCTGAGGCATGAGAATCGCTTAAACCCAGCAGGTGGAGGTTACAGCGAGCCGAGATCACGCCACTGTACTTCAGCCTGGGCAACAGAGCAAGACTCTGTCTCAAAAAAAAAAAATTAAAAATTAAAAAATAAATCCTGTATTCTATGGCTTTCTTTATATTACACAGTCAGCACTATAGGACCTGCTAATGGAATAAAAAGTTAATCCAAATAGAATCCCGGTTTCATACTTACACCTGGGTATGCCATCTGAGTGTCCAGAGTATCTCTCTAATAAAGATCCACAGTGAATATCTGCCTCAGATACTGGGCAGTTTATATTACTACCACGGTGTGAGGTTAGCGCTAGCAATAGTAGTTTTCAGCTGGGCAACTCCTTAAAATTTATAAAATATTTTTTATACATAACCTTATTTTGATATTTCTGCTCACTTGATATTTCTTGCCACCTTGAGAGATGGCAGGGTAGAAATTAATGACCTTGACCGGGCGTGGTGGTTCATGCCTGTAATCTCAGCACTTTGGGAGGCCCAGACAGGAAGACTGCCTGAGTTCAGAAGTTCGAGGCCAGCCTGGGCAACATAGTGAAACTCATCTCTACAAAAAATACAAAAATCACCCAGGCATGGTGGTGCCTGTAGTCCCAGCTACTGGGGAGGCTGAAATGGAAGAGTGGCTTCAGCCTGGGAGGCAGAGGTTGCAGTGAGCCGAGACTGCACCACTGAACTCCACCCTGGGCAAGAGGCTGGAGTTAATTAATTAATAAGTTAATGTGATTAATTTTATTAATATTTTTAAATTAATAAAAAATATTAACGACCTGTCAAACCACAGATAGAAAGTAAATAGCAGAGGCAGGACTTGAATGGAGGACTCTTACCTCCAAGTTCAGTTGTTCAACTGCCCCATCATGCATCACTGCCCAGCTCTTTATCTAAGTCTCCAATCTTGCTAGAAATAGGACCATCCCTCCAATAGAAATTAATAGTCCAGACATGCCCTTTTCTACTAGGCTTAGTGCCCTGTCTCACACAGTCTTTGAATTATTTCTAAATTTTTTTCTTTTTTTTTGAGATGGAGTTTCCCTCTTGTTGCCCAGGCTGGAGTGCAATGGCATGATCTCAGTTCACTGCAACCTCCGCCTCCAGGGTTCAAGCGATTCTCCTGCCTCAGCCTCCTGAGTAGCTGCGATTACAGGCACCCACCACCATGCCCAGCTAATTTTTTGTATTTTTAATAGAGACGGGATTTCACCATGTTGTCCAGGCTGGTCATGAACTCCTGCCCTTGACCTCAAGTGATTCGCCCACCTCAGCCTCCCAAAGACCTGGGATTACAGGCGTGAGCTACCACAACCAGCCCTTAAATTTTTTTTATTAAGATTTCCTGATCAATGTTAAGGCCAGTGGTGTTAAGAAATCAAACAAATATTGATTAAAAGTTTATAAATTTTTCGGCTAATTATTAGTGAGTACTTAAATTAGGAAAATGTACAATACTATATTCTATGGTTAATTTTATTTGACTTCAAATTTCCACTAAACAACACTTTCCAAAATTGTAAAGTATAAATGCTTTGCAAAAGTTTAAAAAACACAGAAAATAATTTCAAAACTCAAAGTTACCATTATTGAAATGCATTTTGCTTTATTTTCACCTAGTCTCTGCATAAATAACTTTTTTCTTTTTTTTTTTTTTTTTTTTTTTTGAGACGGAGTCTCTGTCTGTCGCCCAGGCTGGAGTGCAGTGGCCGGATCTCAGCTCACTGCAAGCTCCGCCTCCCGGGTTCACGCCATTCTCCTGCCTCAGCCTCCCGAGTAGCTGGGACTACAGGCGCCCACCACCTCGCCTGGCTAGTTTTTTGTATTTTTTTTAGTAGAGACGGGGTTTCACCGTGTTAGCCAGGATGGTCTCGATCTCCTGACCTCGTGATCCGCCCGTCTCGGCCTCCCAAAGTGCTGGGATTACAGGCTTGAGCCACCGCGCCCGGCCTGCTTTTTCTTAAACACAATTGAGATTCTGCTTCCACTTAACATTCTGTTCTAGGCATTTGCTTATATCCTGAAAAGCTCTAGAGAATATTTTTAAATTGTTGGTATGAATGAAGTATATTGCTACTAATAATGATGACAACAAGAGTAACTAGCAAATTTTTAAATTAGCATCCAGACATGAATAACGAAAACCAGTTTTTAATTTTTTCAGACAAATGCAAGATTATTATCTGATCATGCCAAACCAACTGCTGAAACGGTAGCACCCGACAACACTGCAATCCCCAATTTAAGGGCTGAAGATGCAGAAAATGAAAAAGAAACAGCAGTATCCCCAGAAGACCATTCCCACCGTAAGGTAAAAGTAACATCATTTATATTCATATAATTTTTTAATTCTCCAAAGGTCTTAGTTTCAAAGCATGGTAAAAGAGATTATGTCATTTATGTCTCAGTTTAATCTTTTTAAAACATGATCACCTCAACTGCCTCCAATCACTAGAAGAATCATGAGGATTAATGAGTTTTACTACTTGGGCTGAGCTGCTGTATACTTGTTTCATTTTATACAATCTAAATTCAGTTTAAACCTGTGGCTGCAGAGTGTGAGGAATATTATAAACATGTTTACATGATAGTGTGTGAAGAAAAAAAATAATGAATATTAAACATTACCTTAGGCATAAATATGGTTATATTATCATTTGTTTGAAGAATGAACTTTTTTTTCTTTTAAGGCTGAAAAATCATCAGTACTAAAGTCAAAAGAGGAAAGCCATGAACAGTCAGCAGAACAGGGCAAGAGTTCTAGCCAAGAGCTGGGACTGAAGGACCAAGAGGACAGAGATGGTGACTTCAGCGTGAATTTGGAGTATGCACCAACTGAAGGTATATTGGACATAAAAGAAGATATGAGTGAGCCTCAGGAGAAAAAACCCTCAGAGAACACTGACTTTTTGGCTCCTGGTGTTAGTTCCTTCATAGATTCTAACCAACAAGAAAGTATCACAAAGAGAGAGGAAAACCAAGAACAACCTAGAAATTATTCACATCATCAGTTGAACAAGAGCAGTAAACATAGCCAAGACCTAAAGGATCAAGGAAACCAAGAGCAGGATCCAAATATTTCCAATGGAGAAGAGGAAGAAGAGAAAGAGCCAGGTGAAGTTGGTACCCACAATGATAACCAAGAAGGAAAGACAGAATTGCCCAGGGAGGATGCTAACAGCAAGCAGGAGGAAGACAATACCCAATCTGATGACATTTTGGAAGAGTCTGATCAACCAACTCAAGTAAGCAAGATGCAGGAGGATGAATTTGAGCAGGATAACCAAGAACAAGAAGATGATAACTCCAATGCAGAAACAGAAGAGGAAAATGCATCAAACATCAATAAGCACATTCAAGAAACTGAATGGCCGAGTCAAGAGGGTAAAACTGGCCTGGAAGCTATCAGCAACCACAAAGAGATAGATGAAAAGACTGTTTCTGAGGCTTTGCTCATGGAACCTACTGACGATGGTACCACTATGCCCAGAAATCATGGAGCTGATGATGATGGCGGTGATGATGGCGATGATGGCCCCAGACACAGTGCAGGTGATGACTACTTCATCCCAAGCCAGGCCTTTCTGGAGGCCGAGAGAGCTCAATCCATTGCCTATCACCTCAAAATTGAGGAGCAAAGGGAAAAAGCACATGAAAATGAAAATATAGATACCAGTGAGCCTGGAGAGCACCAAGAGGTAAGATTATTTTAAATGGTCCTTGTTCAATAAAGCCAGCATTATCAATAAACAGTCATGACCTTTCTGTGTGCTCTCACAGTGTCCTATATGGACGTCTACTAGTACATTACTAAAATATATTACAATTATTTCTTTTTAGGTCCATTTCTATCATTAGGCTGAGAATGCCTGTTTTATTTGGGTTCCCATAGAAGCAGATCTTGGATTTGAGTGTTGTTTATTTAAGAAGCACAGGGAACAAAGATAGAGTAACACAAGAAGGAAAGGAAGCTAATAAAAGGAACATCATTCAAGCCATGTAAAGACACTTTCTCAGAATTATTCCATTTGGTGACTGAAGAAGCTAGGGCACTTCTTGTGGCTGAGGATTGCTAGGGGGGTATTAATTTCCCAGCATGTCCAGTCTGTCCCTTGAGTGAGTCAGGTCAATTTCCATGATTTTTCAGGCACAGAAATGCAGATATTGGCCATTGAAAGTCCCTGGAACTAGCTGAAATGATAAATTATGACAGATCTGAAGGAAGGGAGACACTGAGAGCTGCTGCTCTAATGCCTTGAAAGCAGATGCCATATTGTTTTCGAGTTGAATCACCAGTGTCCAACAAAATGCCTCTGACATAACAAAAGAGCCAACAATGTTTGTTGAATTAGTTATAAAGATTAAGGCCCTACTTTATTAAGCAAACACATACCAAAATGATAATCTAGAAACTACAGCAGGATCGGGGCAGAGAGGAAGCATATTTGGAGCTTTCATTCAAAATCCTGGCAGCCACCCACCAGCAGGACTTGGCACAGATTTTGGTGCACAAAGTCAATGGTAACCTCAATTACTGAGAACTCTGCTGCCACTCTAACGTAGAAGTTTTCTTACACCTTAAAAGCCTGGTAAGAAAGCTTTACCAACAAATTCAGAGAGATTTCCAATGTAACTCTGGCTTAACTAAAAAATCACAAGATAATACTACATTTCTAGTGTTTTCTCAAATCCAAAGAGGAGACTCCAAGTCTTATTGAGTAATCCCCAGAGATACCGCACTACGTCTTGCTGATAAAGATAGAAATGGGTCCTATTCTCCAAGGGTTCCTGTCTACCTCTACAGTTGTGACTGATTTCCTTTCTTTTTTCTTTTTTCTTTTATTTTTTTTGAGACGGAGTCTCACTCCTTCACCCAGGCGGGAGTGCAGTGGTGCAATCTCGGCTCACTGCAACTTCTGCTTCCCAGGTTCAAGCAATTATCCTGTCTCAGCTACCCAAGTAGGTGGAACTATAGGCACCTGCCACCACGCCCAGCTAATTTTTGTATTTTTAGTAGAGATGGAGTTTCACCTTGTTGGTCAGGCTAGTCACAAACTCCTGACCTCAGGTGATCCACCCACCTCAGCTTCCCAAAGTGCTGGGATTATAGGCTCCATTTCTTTCCTTTTTTACTGTTTTGTTTTGTTTTTAGAGACGAAGTCTTGCTCTATCTCCTAGGCTGGAGTGCAGTGGTGCAATCACAGCTTCCTGCAGCCTCAATCTCCTGGGCTCTAGTAGTCCTCCCACCTTAGCCTCCTGAATAACTGGGACCACAGGCACGCACCATCACGCCCAGCTAGTTTTTTTTTTCTTTTTTTTTTTTGGTAGAGATGGAGTTTCCCTATGTTGCCAGGCTGGTCTTAAACTCCTGGGCTTGAAGTGATCCTTCCACTCTGGCCTCCCAAAGTGCTGGGATTACACACATGAGCCACCGCACCCAGCCTGGTTTCCCTTTCTGAGATTTGAAATGATTTGAGCATGAAAAATACTCTGTGAAAGTATGCACAGTGGGAATATAAATTAAGTAATGGCTCTCCTCTTAGTAGATTTTAACTTTTGCTCTTGTTATTCTAAAGGCCAAGAAAGCAGAGAACTCATCAAATGATGAGGAAGCGTCAAGTGAAGGCAACATGAGGGTGCATGGTGTGGGTGAGTATGCACCAAGCAAGCTGTTTGTGACTATATCAAGGAAGAAATGGAATCTGCCACTTTGGGCTTGTCCCTCCATCCTTTGTGACTACTGCACAGAATTTTTTCTCTCCCCAACCCTCTCCAAGGAAATGCTCCCATAAATTGTTGACATTTTCTTGTACATACTTCATATACAACTATGGGTAAATGTGTTTACAAACTGGAAGCCCTGTTTAGATATTAGTGAAAAGGCTAGAGTTCTTCTTCCTTAAATCCTTTTGCTTCTGAAAAGAATTAATTCTACCTCATTTATTCTCAAATCTGTCACTTGCTTGTGAATTTATATCCCATACATGATAAAGGACCTAATTCCTCCCCCTATCACAAACATTTTGAATTTCAGCCTTATTTCACTTCTGACCAGTTTGCACAACATTGCACTAAGAACTTCATACTATGACCATCTCAGGCATAGAAGAGCTGTCTGTTCTTTGCACATCTCCAATCCAAACTGCTGCAAAAGGAAATCTAGATTATCATGTAAAGTAGTCTGTAAAATTATCATGTAAAATAGAAGGTTCCATCTGGAAATTAACACATCAATTAAAGAGGATTCCAATGTCTTCTCACTTCCAAATTTGCAAATTTCAAGGACTTCAAAATTTCCCCCTCGTTAGTGAAAATGAAACTAGTTGAGTAAATTTGTATTTACATACTCAATTTAACTTTGTCCATGTTTCCTGTCTAATCTTTTCTACTAGATTCTTGCATGAGTTTCCAGTGTAAAAGAGGCCACATCTGTAAGGTAGACCAACAGGGAAAACCTCACTGTGTCTGCCAGGATCCAGTGACTTGTCCTCCAACAAAACTCCTTGACCAAGTAAGTATTCTGCAAAATAGTCTTTAAGTGGCTCCAAAAGGTTAGTGACTGAAATAAAAATATTTGCAATTGAAATATTTGCTTTAAAAAGGTACATAGGTTATCATCTAATATTTGGAACATCTGCAGTTTTCATTCTACTGAGCTTACCGAGAGCTAAATTGTCATCACCGTTAGTACAGTTTAGTCGATTTTTTTGATGCCAAATGGAACAATTATGATTTTAAAAGTCTCACCTACCTGACCACATCTTTGACACAGCACTGTTAACAGCATATGAGCTTTAAGGAGCAGAGTGTCTCCCAGTGAGCATTTGGCTCTATCAGCTTTTACTCCTGCTTATCTTCCATAGGTTTGCGGCACTGACAATCAGACCTATGCCAGTTCCTGTCATCTATTCGCTACTAAATGCAGACTGGAGGGGACCAAAAAGGGGCATCAACTCCAGCTGGATTATTTTGGAGCCTGCAAATGTAAGATTATGACCCTCCTGTCAACCACAATCTCTGAGAGGGTTTGGGGTGAATCTGGACATGCCTGAATTATCTATATGCAAACAGGGAAAAGCTAATGTAGTTCTGGACACAAAAATCATCAACTGGGGAAACTTAAAAAATAAGAACTCTCTGGCCTTAACCATAGGAGATTCTGATTTAACTGAACTAGGTTGGAACCCTGACTTTTTTTTTATCATTATTATTTGTTTTTAAAGTAACCTAGACAATTCTAATGTGCAGCCAGGGCTCAGAACCACTATGCTAATGTTATCCGCTTAATCATAGAGTTGAATCACTGGAATTTTGCTACATTATTTGCCCTCTTCCCAATTTAAGTTAAGCCTTTGCCAAGAAGTTTTCCGACAACACATTCTTCCAAAAGATTTTTAAGGCTGTCTTCCTTCCCCAGGATGCTCTCAGTTGTGTTTGGCTCCCCTTACCACTAAGTGATTCTCCACATTAGCAATGCTCACTAATATTTCTGGGTCTCCTCCCCTTCCAGACACAGGAGAGGATGAAATATGTCAGCCTCCTGGACGTTAGGTATGACCACATATCTTGCTTTGTCCAATGAAATGTGAAAAAAAAAAATCATCTGTGTGAGTTCTGGGCAGAAGCATTGAAGAGCTGGGGTATGGCTCTCCATCCTCTGCTCCTTTGCCACCACAAACTCTCTTTGAGATAGTGGCCTCAAAAAATGGCAACGTCATTGGTGGCTGGCAAGATGGCCAAATAGGGACTGCTCTGGTCTGCAGCTTCCAGTGAGATCAACACAGGAGGGCGATTTCTGCATTTCCAACTGAGGTACCCAGCTCATTGGGACTGGTTAGACAGTGGGTGCAGCTCACGGAGGAGGAGCCAAAGCAGGGTGGGGTGTTGCCTCACCCAGGAAGTGCAAGGGGTCGGCGAACTCCCTCCCCTAGCCAAGGGAAGATGTGAGGGACTGTGCTGTGAAGGACGGTGCATTCCGGCCCAGATACTAGGCTTTTCCCATAGTCTTCGCAATCCACAGACCAGGAGATTCCCTAGGGTGCCAACACCACCAGGACGCTGGGTTTCAAACACAACACTGGGCCACCATTTGGGCAGACACTGAGCTAGCTGCAGGAGTTGTTTTTTTTTTCATACCCCAGTGGCACCTGGAATGCCAGCAAGACAGAACTGTTCACTTCCCTGGAAATGTGACTGAAGCCAGGGCGCCAAATGGTCTAGCTCAGTGGATCCTACCCCCATGGAGCCCAGCAAGCTAAGATTCACTGGCTTGAAATTCTCGCTCCTAGCACAGCATTCTGAAATAGACCTGGGATGTTTGAGTTTGGTTGAGGGAGGGGCATCTGCCATTACTGAGGCTTGAGTTGGCGGTTTTCCCCTCACAGTGTAAACAAAGCCGCTAGGAAGTTCGGACTGGGTGGAGCCCACCGCAGCACCGTAAAGCCACTGTAGCTAGACCGCCTCTCTAGATTCTTCCTCTCTGGGAAGGGCATCTCTGAAAGTAAGGCAGCAGCTCCAGTCAGGGGCTTATGGATAAAGTTCCCATCTCCTTGGGACAGAGCACCTGGGGGAAGGGGTGGCTGTGGGCGCAGCTTCAGCACACTTAAACATTCCTGCTTGCCCACTCTGAAGAGAGCAGCAGATCTCCCAGCACAGCACCTGAGCTTTGCTAAGGGACAGACTGCCTCCTCAGGTGGGTCCCTGACCACCGTGCCTCCTGACTGGGAGAAACCTCCAAGCAGGGGTCAACAGACATCTCATACAGGAGCACTCCAGCTGGCATCTGGCAGGTACCCCTCTGGGACGAAACTCCCAGAGGAAGGAACAGGCAGCAATCTTTGCTGTTCTGCAGCCTCTGCTGGTGATATCCAGGCAAACAAGGTCTAGAATGGACCTTGAGTGAACTCCAGTAGACCTGCAGCAGAGGGGCCTATTAGAAGGAAAACTAATGAACAGAAAAGAATAGCATCAACCTCAACAAAAAAGATATCTACACAAATACCCCATCTGAAAGTCACTAATATCAAAGACCAAAGGCAGAAAATCCACGAAGATGAGGAAAAACCAGCATAAAAACCCTGCAAATTCCAAAAATGGGAATGCCTCTTCTCTTCCAAAGGATCACAACTCCTTGCCAGCATGGGAACAAAAGTGGATGGAGAATTAGTTTGAGGAATTGACAGAAGTAGACATCAGAACGTGGGTAATAACAAACTCTTCTGAGCTAAAGGAGCATGTTATAACCCAATGCAAGGAAGCTAAGAACCTTGAAAAAAGTTTAGAGGAATTGCTAACTAGAATAACTAATTTAGAGAATAACATAAATGACCTGATGGAGCTGGAAAATACAGCACGAGAACTTTGTGAAGCATACACAAGTATCAATAGCCAAATCAATTAAGCAGAAGAAAGGATATCAGAAATTGAAGATCAACTTAATGAAATAAAGCATGAAGACAAGATTAGAGAAAAAAGAATGAAAAGGAACGAACAAAGCCTCCAAGAAATATGGGACTATGGGAAAAGACCAAATCTCCGTTTGATTGGTGTACCTGAAAGTAATGAGAAGAATGGAACCAAGTTGGAAAACCCTCTTCAGGATATTATCCAGGAGAACTTCCCCAACCTAGCAAGACAGACCAACATTGAAATTCAGGAAATACAGAGAACACCACAAAGATAATCCTCAAGAAGAGCAACTCCAAGACACATAATCGTCAGATTCACCAAGGTTGAAATGAAGGAAAAAATGTTAAGGGCAGCTAGACAGAAAGGTCAGAATACCCACAAAGGGAAGCCCATCAGACTAACAGTGGAACTCTCTGCAGAAACCCTACAAGCAAGAAGAGAGTGGGGGCCAATATTCAACATGCTTAAAGAATTTTAAACCTAGAATTTCATAACCAGTCAAACTAAGCTTCATAAGTGAAGGAGAAATAAAATCCTTTACAGATAAGCAAATGCTGAGAGATTTTTTCACCACCAGGCCTGCTTTACAACAGCTCCTGAAGGAACCACTGAATATGAAGAGGGAAAACCAGTACCAGCCACTGCAAAAACATACCAAATTGTAAAGACCATTGACACTATGAAGAAATTGCATCAACTAACGGGCAAAATAACCAGCTAGCATCATAATGACAGGATCAAATTCACACATAACAATATTAATTTTAAATGTAAACAGGCTAAATGCCCCAATTAAAAGACACAGACTGGCAAATTGGATAAAGAGTCAAAAGTGCTGTATTAAGGAGACCCAGCTCATGTGCAAAGACACACATTGGCTCAAAGTAAAAGGATGGAGGACTATTTACCAAGAATTGGAAAGCAAAAAAAAAAAAAAAAAAAAAAAAAAGCAGGAGTTGTAATCCTAGCTTCTGATAGAACAGGTTTTAAACTAACAAAGACCAAAAAAGACAAAGAAGGGCATTACATAATGGTAAAGGGATCAATGCAACAAGAAGAGCTAACTATCCTAAATATATATGCACCCAATATAGGAGCACCCAGATACACAAAGCAAGTTCTTAGAGACCTTAGACTCCCACACAATAATAGTGGGAGACTTTAATACTCCACTGTAAAATATTAGACAGATCAACAAGACAGAAATTAACAAGTATATTCAGGACTTGAACTTAGCTCTGGACTAAGCGGACCTAATAGACATCTACAGAACTCTCCACCCCAAATCAACAGAATATACATTCTTCTCAGCACCACATTGTACTTATTCTAAAATTAACCAAATAATTGAAAGTAAAAACTCCTCAGCAAATGCAAAAGAGTAGAAATCATAACAGTCTCTCAGACCACACTGCAATCAAATTAGAACTCAGGATTAAGAAACTCACTCAAAACCACACAACTACATGTTAACTGAACAACCTGCTCCTGAATGACTACTGGGTAAATAACCAAATTAAGGCAGAAATAAGGAAGTTCCTTGAAACCAATGAGAATGAAGACACAATGTGCCAGAATCTCTGGGACACAGCTAAAGCAGCATTTAGAGGGAAATTTATACCACTAAATGCCCATAGGAGAAAGCAGGAAAGATCTAAAATTGACACCCTAGCATCACAATTAAAACAACTAGAGAAACAAGAGCAAACACATTCAAAAGCTAGCAGAAGACAAGAAATAACAATGATCAGAGCATAACTGAAGGAGATAGAGACACGAAAAACCCTTCAAAAAATCAATGAATCTAGGAGCTGGTTTTTTGAAAAGATTAACAAAATGGATAGACTGCTAGCCAGACTAATACAGAAGAAAAGAGAGAAGAATCAAAGAGATACAATAAAAAATGATAAAGGGGATATCACCACTGATCCCACAGAAATACAAACTACCATCAGAAAATACTATAAACACCTCCACACAAATAAACTAGAAAATCTAGAAGAAATAGATAAATTACTGGACACATATACCCTCCCAAGACTAAACCAGGAAGAAGTTGAATCCCTGAATAGACCAATAACAAGTTCTGAAATTGAGGCAGTAATTAATAGTCTACCAATCAAAAAAAGCCAAGGGTCAGAAAGATTCACAGCTGAATTCTACCAGAGGTACAAAGAGGAGCTGGTACCATTCCTTCTGAAACTATTCCAAACAATAGAAAAACAGGGAATCCTCCCTATTTCATTTTATGAGGCCAGCATCATCCTGATACCAAAACCTGACAGTGACACAATGAAAAAAGAAAATTTCAGGCCAATATCCCTGATGAACATCAATGCGAAAATCCTCAATAAAATATTGATAAACCAAATCCAGGAGCACATAAAAAAGCTTATCTACCACAATCAAGTCACCTTCATCCCTGGGATGCAAGGATGGTTCAACATATGCAAATCAATAAATGTAACCCATCACATAAACAGAACTAATGACAAAAACCACACAATTATCTCAATAGATGCAGAAAAGGTCTTCAACAAAATTCAACACCCCTTCGTGCTAAAAACTCTCAATAAACTAGGTATTGATGGAACATATCTCAAAATAATAACAGCTATTTATGACAAACCCATAGCCAATATCATACTGAATGGGCAGAAGCTGGAAGCATTCCCTTTAAAAACCAGCACAAGACAAGGATGCCCTCTCTCACCACTCCTATTCAACCAGTATTGGAAGTTTTGGCCAGGGCAGTGAGGCAAGAGAAAGAAATCAAGGGTATTCAAATAGGAAGAGAGGAAGTTGAATTATCTCTGTTTGCGGATGACATAATTGTATATTTAGAAAACCCCATCATCTGAGGCCAAAATCTCCTCAAACTGATAAGCAACTTCAGCAAAGTCTCAGGATACAAAATCAATGTGCAAAAATCACAAGCATTCCTATATACCAGTAATAGACAAGCAGAGAGCCAAGTCATAAGTGAACGCCCATTCACAATTGCTACAAAGAGAATAAAATACCTAGGAATACAACTTACAATGGATGTGAAGGACCTCTTCAAGGAGAACTACAAAGCACTGCTGAAGGAAATAAGAGAGGACACAAACAAATGGAAAAATATCCATGAGCATGGATAGGAAGAATCAATATCATGAAAATGGTTCTACTGACCAAAGTAATTTATAGATTCAATCCTATCCCCATCAAGCTATCACTGACTTTCTTCACAGAATTAGAAAAAACTACTTTAAAGTTCATATGGAACCAAAAAAGAGCCCATATATCCAAGACAATCCTAAGCAAAAAGAACAAAGCTGGAGGCATCACACTACCTAACTTAAAACTATACTACAAGGCTACAGTAACCAAAACAGCATGGTAATGGTATCAAAACAGATATATAGACCAATGGAACAGAACAGAGGCCGCAGAAATAATGCCACACATCTACAAACATCTGATATTTGGCAAACCTGACAAAAACAAGCAATGGGGAAAGGATTCCCTATTTAATAAATGGTGTTGGGAAAACTGGCTAGCCATATGCAGAAAACTGAAACTGGGCCCCTTCCATACACTTCATACAAAAATTAACTCAAGATGGATTAAAGACTTAAACATAAGACCTAACACCATAAAAACCCTGGAAGAAAACTTAGGCAATACCATTCAGGACATAGGCATGGGCAAAGACTTCATGACTAAAATACCAAAAGCAATGACAACAAAAGCCAAAATTGACTAATGGGATCTAACTAAACTAAAGAGCTTCTGCACAGCAAAAGAAACTATCATCAGAGTAAACAGGCAACCTACAGAATGGGAGAAAATTTTTGCAATCTTCCATCTAACTAAGGGCTTATATCCAGAATCTACAAGGAACTAATATAAATTTACAAGAAAAAAACAACCACATCAAAAAGTGGGTGAAGGATATGAACAGACACTTCTCAAAAGAAGACATTTATGTGGCCAACAAACATATGAAAAAAAGTTCATCATCAGTGGTCCTTAGAGAAATGCAAATCAAAACCACAATGAGATACCATCTCACGCCAGTTAGAATGGCAACCATTAAAAAGTCAGGAAACAACAGATACTGGAGAGGATGTCGAGAAATAGGAACACTTTTATACTGTTGGTGGGAATAAATTAGTTCAACCATTGTGGAAGACAGTGTGGCAATTCCTCAAGGATCTAGAACTAGAAATACCATTTGATACAGCAATCCCATTACTGGGTATATACCCAAAGGATTATAAATCATTCTACTATAAAGACGCATTCACACATATGTTTATTACAGCACTGTTCACAATAGCAAAGACTTGAAACCAACCCAAATGCCCATCAATGATAGACTGGATAAAGAAAATGTGACACATATACACCATGGAATACTATGCAGCCATAAAAAAGGATGAGTTCATGTCCTTTGCAGGGACATGCATGAAGCCGGAAACCATCATTCTCAGCAAACTAGCACAGGAACAGAAAACCAAGCACCACATGTTCTCACTCATAAGTAGGAGCTGAACCATGAGAACACATGGACACAGGGAGGGGAACATCATACACCAGGGCCTGTCAGGGGCTGGGGGACTAGGAGAGGGATAGCATTAGGAGAAATACCTAATGTAGATGATGGGTTGACAGGTACAGCAAACCACCACGGCACGTGTATACTTATGTAACAAACCTGCACGTTCTGCACATGTATCTCATAACTTAAAGTATAATTTAAAAAAAAAAATGGCAGTCATCCTGAGCTCTGGGGAGACTGCAATGAGCAGAGAGCCCTCCTGCTAACTTGTATTGGACTTGTAGCAGTATTGCAAAATTGACTTTTGTTTCTTTAAGTCACTGAGATTTAGCATTATTTCTTACCATAGTATCAGCTAATATCTACCTTTTCCTCTATTCAATAGTACTTGTGCCCTCCACCTACAAATTTCAACTCTGATTCTACAGTAGTGGTCCTGGGGCCTAGCTGCACATCCAAATAGATTTTGGAGTTTTAAAAACATCCTGATGCCCAAACTTCACACCAGACCAGTCACATCAGAATTTACTTGATTGGAAGCTGGCATTTGGTGTTTTATAAAACCCCAGGCAATTCTGTTGTGCTGCTGCCAGGGCTAAGGACCACTGTCATAATAATGGGGCCCTGAGAAAGCTCTGTCAGTTGCCAGAAGTTAAGCTTCCTATTACGAGGATTTGCCACAGTACACGAATAAGCCCAAAGATTACAGTACATTTTCTGCTTGTAACAGCTATTCCTACTTGTACGGACTTTGAAGTGACTCAGTTTCCTCTACGGATGAGAGACTGGCTCAAGAATATCCTCATGCAGCTTTATGAAGCCAACTCTGAACACGCTGGCTATCTAAATGAGAAGCAGAGAAATAAAGTAAGTTATCCACAGATTAGCTTCTTCAATGTCTGTCTACAGGGCATGAGGAAGAAAGACATGGTGGGGGGCTACCTACCTCTGCATACTGGCAAAAGCCCACTATGCTTTTCCATGCCTGGTTAGCCCATGTGGCTTAACAGAATAATACATGTCACCATTCATGCCGCAAGGTTTTGGACACCACCAAACCGCCCCATTCTTCCCCATGGTCAGTGGCCTGAATTAGGGCTCTTCAATTCATACCTAGAGCAAGCTCTGGTTGAGCACAGTTAAGATAAATTTAGCATTGATATAGTCAGTGAAACATCTTATTTAAATCTAAGCATTTGTTTTGCTCTCATAGGCCAGACATAGATGTATGATATAAAGTAATCCATTACTCAAAATATCAGCAATATATTAAGATTAAAAAGCATTAATTCCAGAAACTTCCAGAGAAAATTCATTCACGAGATAGTTACCGAGTGCATCCTGGATGCCAGAAATTAACCTAAATACTGGAGATACAGCAATGAAAAGAAAATCTCTGCCTTCGTGAGTTTACATTCTGGGTGAAGAGACAGACTCTAAATAAATAAGAGTGTGTGTGTGTGTGTGTATGTATGTAATGTATGTATATACATATATTTATATATGTATAATTTGTATATATACATGTATACGCATATGTGTGTATATGCATATATGCATATACATGTATATATGCTTATATGTGTGTATATGCATATATGTGTATATATACATATGCACATATATGCAATTGTATGTAGTAAAATGAGCATTTATGCAAATATAACCAAATCAGCAAATATATGTATAAGTATGTCAGTTGGGATTAAACATGGTGCGAAAATAAATAAAACAAGAAGAAGGGTGTGCATTAACTGTGTCAGATGCTGTTTATAGGTTGGAAGTTGAGGACTGAGAATTGGCCAGAGATTTAGCATGTCAAGGTCATAGTTGACCTTGATAGGAGCTGTTCCTGGGGTGGGAGCATGTTTCAGGAAGGAAGCTCCAGTGGAGAGAGTTCAACAGAGACTAGGAGGAAGGATGTGGATGCAGCAAGTATAGACAATCCTTTCAAGGAGTTTTGCTATAAAGAGATAAAGAGAAATGGGGTGGCAGCTGGAGGGGAAAGTGAGTTCAAGAGTCCCCCCTAGCAGTGGGAGATGGTAGAGGATGTTTGTATGCTTCTGGAAATAACCCAGTCAAGAAGGAAATATTAGTGGCGAGCAGAGAATGCACACAACTGCCAGGGGGCATTCTTCAATACGTGTCCCAGCCAGATGAGAGGGGCTGGACTTAGAATAGGAGCACAGGAAAGTCACAGGTAGGAAAGCTGTGGTTCTGGGAGCAGGTGGAGGTTCTGTTTGCTTCCAATTACTCAGTGAAATAAGAGGCAACATCAGAAGCTGAGACTTTCACATGCGCTGCTCAAGAATAATTTCTAGCCTCCGTCTTGAATACATTGTCACAGAGAGCCTTGAGGATATTAGCTATGAAAAAGGGAAATTTCAATGGGGCTGGCCAAGCAGTAACACACCAGGCCGAAAGCGAGACTGAGTGGGCACTGGATGGATGACCTAGAAGACTAAGAATAGACTCTGCCATCAGGAGAAGGAGCAGCACTTTTCATTAACTAATCAAAAATTTTCCCTCAGTCAATTCAGCCCTTTTCATTAAAACCTCATAGTTTAAAAAAAAAAAAAAAAAAAAAGTAGTGAACATTAATTACTTGTTAAAAGAAAGAGGCAAAATATACTTAAAATATTTAAAAGTTTAAAAAAGATTTAAATTTCTTCTAAAAACCAGAGGTTTCTTCCATCAGGTGCTATTCTGTGTAGGTATGAGAAAGGCCTATAGTATTGATTGGAAGGAATTTCATTTGGTTGCACATGATGTCCTGAGCTTGTTTTCCTCTATCATGTTACTGTCACTCTTCAAGTAAAGTTTAGCAAGTGACGAGTCCATTACATTTGTCTGATTCTCTGACAGTCTTCTGCCTTCTTAACCCCAGGTCAAGAAAATTTACCTGGATGAAAAGAGGCTCTTGGCTGGGGACCATCCCATTGACCTTCTCTTAAGGGACTTTAAGAAAAACTACCACATGTATGTGTATCCTGTGCACTGGCAGTTTAGTGAACTTGATCAACACCCTATGGATAGGTAAGAACTCTTTACCTTTCCATTTCTAGATTTATCTCTCTGATGAAATATCTACATATCTATGCAGAACGAAAATCTAGATTTAGGACATTTCCCAGTTCCATTTTAGAATACTGAAATGCCTGGTTAGGAGTCTAAACACAAAGCTGCTGTGTGTGATGTACCCTAGAACTTAAAGTATAATCATAAAAAAAAAAAGTCTGGAACTTGATAGAGCTTATGTTGATAAAGTTTATGTTTTATAATTTTATCTTTTAATTCCATTTGTCAGTGAAATTTTTGAAGTCCCCTTATCACAATTATCAAAGCTATGTAATATTCATTAAAAAAAAAAAAAGCTGCCGCGAAGATAGCAGAATATGGCTACACCATAGCTCCTAAGTTTACATGTTAAGGTCCAGCTTCCCACAGAGACTCCTCCGACTTTCTCATTCTTGATCCTAAATTCCCAAGACTGGCCCAACGTGGGTCAAGTGACTACATCTAAAACAATCAGGTACGGTCAGTGGATGAGAACCAGGTTGTACCAACATGATTGCTGGGTACACCCCTGTAGATTTAGGGTAGGAAAAGGACAGTTCCTGTGAAGACAGAAAGCTCGTGAATCGACATCCCAAAAGCTGTCAACCTTACCCACAAATCGTTTATTTCATTGGCAGTTTTTATCGGTATTCTATTTATTTCACATATACAGCAACCTTATGGGAGAAGAATGTCCTTGGTGAGCCTGAGAGTTAAATCTTCATGCACAAGCTACTCAGTTAATAGGATGCCATGTATTTCATTGCAGAGTCCTGACACATTCCGAACTTGCTCCTCTGCGAGCATCTCTGGTGCCCATGGAACACTGCATAACCCGTTTCTTTGAGGAGTGTGACCCCAACAAGGATAAACATATCACCCTGAAGGAGTGGGGCCACTGCTTTGGAATTAAAGAAGGTAAATTCATCACCAGCCAAAGAAGAGGGATGTCTTCTTCCCCAGACAAGCCCTAAGCCCCCGCATGCTTCAAAGAGAGGTCCTGCCACATGTTCAAATTGGAAGCTAGAAACAAAAAGGTAGCAGTTTCCCAGATAGGACTTCCTTGGTGCATATGCTGTCATTACAAAGTCACTTCTTACTACCTTTATAGCACTGTTTTCAAAGGGTAGCAAGGGTGAACATGCATTGAGGTCTCAACAGTCAGCTAAGCCTAAAAAGACATGTGAATCCAGAGTTGGGTCAAATCTCAGCAGGCTTTGTGTCCTTCCTTATTTAATATCCTACCTTAACCTGGGCCTTGGGCCCAACTTTTCAAAATTACATGTAAAGAATAAATAAGCAAGCCCATTTCTGACAATGGGAGATGTCAGAACATCTCAGAATCCATTACCAACACACTGAAGACTGGATTTTACATCACAAGTAGTGCCAGGATAATCCTTTAACCCAAAACTCACCCATGGCTTCATCCTCAATGAATGGGAACTGAGCATTCTTTCTTTACTCCTGCAGTGGAGGAAATTAAATTTAGACACTTATTTTGCTGGGTTATGTCTTAATATGTTTCCTTTTCTTTCCTTAAGTTAGACTTGACTTTTATGAGCAGGTATGTTTTCAATAATTAAGATATGAAAGGCTGGGCACGGTGGCTCATGCCTGTAATCCCAGCACTTTGGGAGGCTGAGGTGGGTGGATCACCTGAGGTCAGGAGTTAGAGACTAGCATGGCCAACATGGTGAAACTCTGCTTCTACCAAAAATACAAAAAGTAGGTGGGCTTGGTGGCACGTGCCTGTAATCCCAGCTACTCGGGAGGCTGAGGCAGGAGAATTGCTTGAACCCGGGAGGCAGAGGTTGCAGTGAGCCAAGATCGCACCACTGCACTCCAGCCTGGGCGACAGACAGAGTGAGACTCGGTCTCAAAAAAAAAGAAAGATATTCAAACAATGAGCATTCAAATCTACTTGCAATTCTCACCACACACACACAAAAACGATAGTATGTGAGGTAATGCATTCGTTAATCAGATCAATTTAGCCATTCCACAATGTATATATATTTTAAAAGGTCATGTTTTACATGATAAATACATACCGTGTTTATTTGTCAGTTAAAATAAATAAATAAGAAAAATACCATTCACAGAACATAAATTAACAGTGAACATCAAATCTCTGAAACAGAGATTTCATTCATGTTTACAATATACCATCGGGATAAACATGCAGCTAGGCCGATAAAGAAAGTCAGTTCATCAAACGTTGGAAGTTCCCAAAAAGAAGTAACTTGTGCAAACTTCATTTTTAAAATATTCCCCACATATATGTAGAATGCCTTGAAATTAGAGATGAAGAGGTGAAAGTATGAAGATTTATAGGTAAGCAGAAAGGGTCAGTCCTTCTCCTTGCAATATCATTCTGTGAAATAAACATTCTGTGAAAGGATGTATATTTTTGTAAGTACCTAGTTCTGTGTATTAGTTGTCTATGCTGCATAGTGAATCACCCCACAACTTAACAGGTTAAATTCTTTCTCACAGTTTCCAAGGGTCAGGAATCTCACAGTAACCAACCTGGATGGCTCTGGATTAGGATCTCTCATTAGGTTGTGGTCAAGGGGTCATGCAGTGCAGCAGTTATCTGATGGCTTGACTGTGGCTAAGGGTCTACTTCTAAGCTCACTCCCATGGCTCTTTGCAGGAGCCTTCAGTATCCCATCATGTAGGCCTCTTGTCCACAGGGCTGCCCACAGCATGGTGTCTGGTTTCCTCCAGAGTGAGTGACCAGGCAGAAAGAGAAAGCCGAGACTGAGGCCCCAATGTCTTTTGTAACCTAATCTCAGAAGTTATATATCATGACTTCTGCCTCATTTTATTGGTCACACTGACCAATCCTGTTACAGCAGGAGGAGGAGAAGGAGACCACACGGGGTTGGGTGTCAATTGTCTTTCTAACATCTATGATACACGCAGAGTACTTATAAAAATTCAAATATATCCCTCTGTCCTGCCCTGCCCTGTCCCACCATAATCTAGAGGGGAAAACTCGGCTGGAATAGGATGTATTTATGGATGCCTGTTTATATGACATGTGATTTTAAACGACTGATAAAAAGGCAAATTTAAACAGGCCATTTTACTTAAGAAAACCAGTTGCATCTCATTCGTCCTTTTGCAAAGCTTCTGGCAGCTCTCCAGTGTGTAAGCTCACCCAGGCTCCGCTGGGCGGTTGTCTGGGAGGAGCAGGAAGGACTTAAAGTCCAGTCATTTACAAAGCTGTTAATGATCTTGTTTGTGCACTGTGGTTTGGCTATCATTGCCTTATTTTGAAGAAAGGAAAAAATTATCACATAATAAACCAATAAAGCAGATATTAAATATTCAGTCAGAACACGTAAACAAGTTATTGCTTTGGAATGTAGCTAAAGAAAAGAAAAATTTATTTGTAAGTATACCCTTCTTTCCTTCAAGGCTGAGAAATCCACAGAAGGAGAAGATAGAGTTTAGCCAATGTTTTCCTGAATTTTAACTGCCTGTGATAGATGTACCCATATATTCCTCACATAGCTGTTACTAACTAGCTATGTGAATTAGGGCGTGTCGCTTATCCTCAGTGAGTCTCATTTTCCTTATCTGTAAAAATGGGGTTCAAATAACAGGTGCAGGAGTCCTCATTTATTTTGCGCCCATGCATACCATGCATTGACACATATCCATGCTAATCGTCAGAAAACCTTCCAAGTGAGACTAACAGGGTAAACAACTCAGATGAACGCAAGTTCCCCAAAGCCATTTAAAGACATTATCCTAAGAGTACTGGGGGATCACCAAAGTGTTTCCAACAAGTCAGTGATTTCCCTGGGTTTGTATTTAAGACGGATTCCCCTGGTTACATTGTGGCAGAGCCAAAGAACTGTTGAGAGAATATTGTGGTAAACCCAGGCAAGAGCTGATGAGAACTTGAAGTAGAGGAGTGATCAAAAGCGGGGTGGGGGGGGGGGGGGGAGGAGAAAGAGAAGTAAACATATTCAAGATATATTTTAAAATGTAAGCATACTGAAATGTCTATCATGTGGAAATAAGACAATATTTGATAGGAAATATGTGGTAGCAGAGAGCAGAGAGGTGAGAGACTGAAAAGTACAATGCCTAGGTCCCTGCCTTAGAGCAGGCAGGGTAAATAGAGGTAAATAGGGGCACCTTCTACTGAGAAAACACAAGAACAGAAGTGGATTTGGAGTAAATGACAAATTCGATTTTAGATACTTTGAATCCTAAAGTATTAGGTTGTCTCCTAAGTGTTAGTTTCATGCAAAAGTAATTATAGTTTGGCCATTATCTCTACCACTCCATCAAAACTACCATTATCCCTACCATGCCCAACTCTGATGGGCACCTACATTGATTTTGTCTTTGCTATTGTGAATAGTGCTGCAATGAGCATGTGAGTTCATGTGTCTTTTTGGTAAAATGATTTTTTTATAAATATACCCAGTAATTGGATTGCTGGGTTGAATAGCAGTTCTGTTTTAAGTTCTTTGAGAAATCTCCAAACGGCTTTCCACAGTGGCTCAACTAATTTACATTACCAGTGTCTAAGCATTCCTTTTTCTCTGCAGCTTCACCAGCATGTTGTTTTTAGACTTTTAAATTATAGCCATTCTGACTGCTGTGAACTGGCATCTCATTGTGAGATGGTTTTGATTAAAATTTTCCTGATTATTAGTAACGTGGAACTTTATATATATTTGTTGGCTGCTTATACATCAAGACAGGGTTTTGGAACTGAAATGCATGTTTGAGGATTATAAGCATACAAAGAATAATTGACACCGGGGAAGGGAATTAATTCTCCCAAGGAAAACGCATTGACTTACGTGAAAAGGGGTCTAGGATTGAACATCATGCTGAGAAAAACATCTAGATGATGGATGGGGAGGAAGAAAGAATTCAGTAAGGACATTGAAGTTTCTCCTGAAATGAAGGAAGAAAACCAGGATAGTGCCATGCAAAGGAGGTGTTTCAAAGAGGAGGAAGAGATTGGCAGTGCCAAATGCGACTGAGATGTCAAAGAAGATGAAAGAAATAAAGATATCCTGGGTGGCCTTGGTTAGAGTGGTTTTGGTGGAATGGTAGAGATGGAAGTCACATTCTATAGATTCAGAAGAAAAGGGAAATGAGAAAGGGTAAGGAGTGAATGTTTGAGTGCAGCAAAGACCTAGAAAAGATACAGAGTAAGGGGAGCATTTTTTAGAATAAAAGAGATTTGAGCACTCCTTTCATTTATTCATTTATTTGCTCAAGAAACCTTTACAGATGGTCTACATAAATGCAGGCACTGTTCTAGAGGCTAAATATAAAACATATTTAAATGCTAACGGAAGGGTCTAGTAAAAAAAAGGAAAGGTGGAAGAAGGATGTAAGAAAAAAAAGGAAAGTAAAAGGAGAATCTTGTGAAAGTCAGAAGAGATCTTGAGCATAGGAAGAGGAATTAGCCTTAACATCAAGAAAAAGGACAATCTCTTATCTGAGCAACAGAAAGAAGACAAAGGCTATGGGTACAAATATAAGTAAATGTGTAAGTAATGAAGCTATTATCTCCATTTTACATATGAAGCCAGTACTCAAAAAAAAAATATCAAAGTCCATAATCTTTCCCATTCTCTGGGCTAGATAAAGATTATTAGCAGGAAAATTACCTAGTGCCCACACAGAGTAGTATAATAGTTTGTTAGGGTGGCCCATGTTGGTAAGGAGTGATCTTATATCTCCTAGAGGATGCTGTCTTTTTCCACAAGTATGGCAACAATTTCTTTGACAAGCTACTCAATTAAAAGCTGGATTTACCTAGCACTACACTTCTATTTATTTCCATTATATTTCAGCTCACCTTCTAGATTAGTATACTTAGCACTTCTTGGCTGGACCTCCCCTTAACCTGCTCTTCCCCTATCAGTGGTTCTCAACCCTGCAGCCAAAATACCTGCAGTTTTCTAAATGTCTACATGCCATTAGTCCACCCCTAGGGATTCAGATTCTAGAGTCCAGAGGTGAGGCCTAAAAATATATTTTTAAAAGTTCATGAGTGATGTTGATGCCCTACCAGAGTTGAGGATCACCATTATACTGCCTTATTAGATGGTTTCTCTAATCCCCCAACTCTAATATTGTTTGTGCTACTAATCTGGCTACTTTCTAAAAGTGTTGTTTTGCTTCTTGTTTTTTACAGAAGACATAGATGAAAATCTCTTGTTTTGAATGAAGATTTTAAAGAACTCAACTTTCCAGCATCCTCCTCTGTTCTAACCACTTCAGAAATATATGCAGCTGTAATACTTGTAGATTTATATTTAGCAAAATGTTTGCATGTGTGACAAGACAATGAGAGTAATTGCTTGATAACAACCTATGCGCCAGGTATTTAACATTAACTTTGGAAACAAAAATGTAAAATTAAGTAAAGTCAACATATGCAAAATACTGTACATTGTGAACAGAAGTTCAATTCATAGTAATTTCACTCTCTGCATCGACTTATGAGATAATTAATGATAAAACTATTAACGATAAAAATAATGCATTTGTATTGTTCATAATATCATATGCACTTCAAGAAAATGGAATGCTACTCTTTTGTGGTTTACGTGTATTATTTTCAATATCTTAATGCCCTAATAAACAGTCCATAAAAAATCCAAATGCTTAGTCAAGTGTATTTCCAGTTATAATTTAGACAATCAAATGTGAAAGATCAACCCAAGACTCACACTTCATGTCAAATTATAATTGTGCTTCCTAAACCCTACTACTTTAAGTGTGTGTGTGCATGTGTGTGCGTGCGTGTGTGTGTGTGTGTGGTTGAGGAAAAAGTGTGAGACACCTCTTACAGGAAACAAATACTCAGTGGTAAAAGCTGCTCATTAATGTCCTTCATCATTATGTAAGTTTAAACAGAATAAAAATAAATTCAAGTGCTTTTTTACCAAATTTGATTTAAAATGTAGAACAAGCTGGGTGCAGAGGCTCACAACTGTAATCTCAACACTTTGGGAGGCCAAGGTGGGTGGATTCCTTGAGCTCAGGAGTTCAAGACCAGCCTGGGCAACATGGAGAGACCCTGTCTCTATGAAAACTTAAAAAAATAGCCAGGCGTGGTGGCATGCACCTGTTGTCCCAGCTACTTGGCGGACTGAGGTAGGAGAATTGCTTGAGACCAGTAGGTCAAGGCTGCAGTGAGCTGATATTGTGCCACTGCACTCCAGCCTTGGTGACAGGACAAGGCCCTGTCTCAAAAAATAAATAAATGAAAATAAAATGTGAAGATTATGCACTGCTTGATCCAACTAATTCTAACTTTTTGTGCAGTTGAGCATGTGTGCTGGGGAAGACGGCAGCCCTGCAAAAATTTCTACATATTCATTGTCTCAAAATAAAGAAAATGTAAGGGTAAAACAGGAAGAGGGCCATAAAGCGTCTTGATGTCCAATGTAGAGAGAGATTAAATATTATTAATGTAAACTGATAGCAAAAAAACCCGTTATAAGCAAAAATTTGTGTTTTTATTTGGGCTCTTCTTTGGTAGCTATTACAGTAAAAGCTAGATCACAAAAATATGACATCATAATATAGTTTTCCAACTTCTGAAGTAAGGCAATAAAAGAACATGCCACCCACTTTATTTGACTATTTGAAAGAAAATGGTTTTTCACATATTTTTCTAGCTGAAATGAAAGATATCAATACAATTATCTTTTAGCATTTTTTCAAATAATCAAAAAGTTGTTGTTGGTTGTTGTTATTACAAACCTTATCTGTGATAGTCACTGAGAGAACATGCCCCTAGGAATTTTATCTGAAAGATACTTACAGAAGAGTTTATTTTTTGTCAGAATAATCTTCTTTGAGTATTTCAAAATTTTATTCATTATCTCTTTTCATAGCTCAATAAATTACTTATTCTTTTGTGAGACAGAGTCTTGCTCTGTCACCCAAGGCTGGAGTGCAGTGGTACAATCTCAGCTCACTGCAACCTCCGCCTCCCAGGTTCAAGCAATTCTCCTGCCTCAACCTCCTGAGTAGCTGGTATTACAGGCGCGTGCCACCACATCCGGCTTATTTTTGTATTTTCAGTAGAGATGGGGTTTCACCATGTTGGTCAGGCTGGTCTCGAACTCCTGACCTCGTGATCCACCCACCTCAGCCTCGCAAAGTGCTGGGATTACAGGCGTGAGCCACCGCACCTGGCCAATTACCTTATTCTTAACTAGAACTATATCATACTATGTCCTTTCTAAATAATTAAGTTCAATTTGATTAATCAAAATCTAATTAAGTATTATTTGTAATTTTTTCCAACTACAGAAATAATTTTAGAAACTATTCCAAATTTCAGAACGTTTTTATATGAAGCTAAAAAGGTCTTAGCTAGTTACAACTAGGTTGTTGGGAACAGTGAAGTTGTATTCAGAGGTATTAATTAGGCCTAAATTATCTTTTACCCTCAGACAACTTTCAAAAATATTTTAGAATAGTGAAAAGCGACTTTAACACCACGGTAAGGACACCACCTCAATATCTACTAAAAAAATTTATTTGAAAATAATATTCATTTTGAAATGAAAAATATTGAATACTAGAAATTTTCAAACCTTAAATTTCTGTATCATTTAAGGCTCTCACATGTACAGCTAGCTCATTTATTATAGAGGCACATTAATATTCTTGGTGGTCACAATTTTTAATTGTGGGTTGTCTGTGATAAAGACATACTCTAATCCTAACCTAGGAGATGAAGTTATTTTCTCAGTAATCAGTCTGTAAGTCTACCTCTGTGTAATTGAGATATTTTGGAAGTTGGAGCTCCTGGTGTGAACACAATTATTCAGTTTAGCTTTGAATTTTGTGACTCATATTGCCCGTAACCATAAAGGTATTAGTAACATGGCTTAAATACTAGATGGGCATAGAGATTCTAGATGATCACACTGCTGCTTGAATTTGCTGCTCCAAGAGCCACTGAAGCAAAGGTAATTGAAGAGATATATAGTATACTTTGGACTGATTCTATTGCACTAGATAAAAGAATGTAACATATTCTTGTATTGGATAATTTAACGATTTCTAATAGGTCCACTTCTAAAAAGAAGAAAGAAATTAAAGCGTTTGAATCCAGAATGAATAAAAATACAAAGAAAAAACATGAAAAAGGAAAAGGAGGGAAATAAGTTGCCTAAATTCAGGCAAAGTAGCACTAAGATAAATCAGAGTTGAGTTTTAAATCTGTGTAACAGCTTAAGTGTGATTTATAGATGCAGATATAGATATAACTTGCCTCAATGCTGGAGATAAGTCTTGGTAAGAATATGATGAAGTTGTTTGTCTTTCAAAATCCAGTTCCAGAGTAGTGATTTGGTTTGAAACTCACAAGGTAAGTTAATTTGGATTAAACGCGATTTTTAAAACATAAAAATGCCTCCTTTCAGAACCAACGGACCAATAAAAGGTCAGTTGATTTGCTTTATTGAATCTGCATTTACTCATATTGTGCTGATTTTCTACCAACCCATTACATCTTACAAAATTTTTCCCATACAATTTCCTTCCCGAGAACTATAACTGGCAATAACAGCAACCAGACTATATGAAGGCCTGGTAAGTCTCACAGAGGTACAAGCTTCAGGTGGATTTATTTGTGTATTACATGAAAACTTTCCTCTCATTTTAGCCAGTAGTGATCAATTCCTAATAATAAGCATGATGCAACACTGGTGTTTAAAGATTTGTGAGTAGAACTGAGCACAGTGGCTCATACCTGTAATCCCAGCACTTTGGAAGGCTGTGGTGGGAAGGTTGCTTGAGGCCAGAAGTTCAAGACCAGCCTTGCAACAGGGGGGCAACATAGCGAGACTCCATCTCTAAGGAAATTTTTTAAAAACTAGCCAGGTGTGGTGGCACACACCTGTAGTCCTAGCTCCTTGGGAGACTGAGGCAGAAGGATCACTTGAGCCCAGCAGTTCGAGGGTACAGGAGGCTATGATTGTGCCACTGCACTCCAGCATGGGTGACAGAGCAAGACCCTGTCTAAAAAAAAAAAAAAAAAAAAAAAAAAAGAAAGATTTGTGTGTAAAGATCACAAACTCAACTTCAGGGACCAAACATGTACAGTGTATAGGCTGAACTGTAACTTTATAAGAAAGTAGAACGTAATGGGCTATTTTGGGAGCTAAACAGTGCATGTCTTGTCTAAGGAATTCAAAGCTTTGAAAAACACTCTTGTAGGTTTACAAAACCGATGTTTGGAGGCAGGATTTATCTTGACCACTATTTCAACACCTCTAACTAATCTACCTATTTACAATAGGAATAGGACTTAAATAGAAAAAAACTCAAAATGATCTTCTGCCCCTTCAATTCCAGGCTTGACCTTTAGAATGAAATTTCTCATCTTGGCTGGCCTTTTGAGCACTGTCACTGCTCTGCCCGTCCCCGTGAGTACACCCTCCTCAGTTGCTGACTCAATTTCAGATTCAGAGTCATCGCATTTCTGGGCTAGAAAACGGGTCTTATCTTTTCATTTCACAAAAGAGGAAAGTGGAATCCAGGAAAGTCATAGAACTAGGAGTTCACCACTGTTTGTCAGCCCAAGACTCTGCCCAGGACAAATCTCAGCTCCATATGCCATGTGCTAGCTGTGTGACCTTGAACTAACTCACGGTTTCCTTGTCTATGAAATGAGTTCTAGGAACACCTCAGAGTTGCATGGAGATAATTTTTTTAATGCATCTAACGCAGAGAAGGGTCCTATCTGAAAGACAGGATGTTCTGAATAAACTCAGTGATATACAACAAATACTCTGCAGTGACCCAAGTCTAAATTAAGCAGTTTGAATTGAGTTTCATTTGTAATGCCCTTGCCCCAAACCGTCTCATGTTTTCTTAAAAGGCTGTTACGTGGAAACGCTCTGACACCAGAGGACTATCTACTTCATTGTAGATTTGATTTTAAAGAAGGAAATATTTAAGATAACTTACATCGATTGCTGAATTATGAACGTAGTAACAACTTATGCCTGAATAATATTTGAGGGATCATACAGACACACCTTTAAAAGTCCAATTTCTGAAAACTAGGTTTGGATAAAAAGCTACATTCACCTATAGTGCCCTTGATAACAAACCTAATTTGTTTCTTTAGACCACAATCCTTTTTGCCAAAGCTGACAAGTGTCGTGGTCTAAAATTCAAACAATTTGTATTGCCTGTTTCTTTATGCTGATGGGAATGTTGCAGCACACATATTTCATTAATTCTAACACGTACTCTTTGATATTTTAGCAGCTCTGAAATTCAGCTGTGTCTTACAAACATAATGTGATAAAGTGTCACGGCAGCTTAACAGCAGTGCTTTTCTTTTTTGGTAATTTATGAAATAATGGTGCTTTTGACAATGATAGCCTCTAAGAATATATGAAATACTGTAATCCCAGAACATCATTAACTTCACCTATATAGACATTTTGTCATCAAAATGACTATATACAAATGAGATCCACTGAGTCTCATCTGTGTTTACTAGTCTGAATATGAGGGTACCCAGTAGGCAAGAAACTCCCCTGCACACTTTGTAACAAAGGAGCTTTTGAAGAAGTGAGGGAGCTTTCAAAATTTGTTTTTGGGATGCAGAACTTAAATGTTCATTT